AGCAATTGAAATGTGGGTTTAATTATAAACACAAATGTAGATAATTAGGTTTTCCTGAAAGTTCAGTTCGCGAAAAGACACTATCATTTTCGGATATAGAAAAGGTGCATTTATTCACGCTATAATGAATTACAATTTTTGTTTATTTTCTAATGCATTAGGTTTTTGACCGAAAATTTGGATATTTTTTCGTCGCTGAATTCAAATTCGTAATCGATTTCACTCTACAAGATACAGTTTTAATGCTATTTAATTGTATATTTCTATCCATAACTTTTTAAACTTTAATTTGTGTACTAAAAGTGCCCACTTCTCCGCTTTGTGGGAAGTGGTAGGAGGAAGGAGATAATACAATTACGTTTACGGTGCGATGAATTATGTTAGTTTGTCATGGAAAAAGTAATCGATATTTTCAATAACTAACAAATATTATTAATTCACAGGTAAAATTTATCACGCTGAAATCGTGTTCCCTACAAAAGATATACAGCGATACTAAAATGTAAAAAGTGGTAAAAAATTTATTTATTTATTATTTGTTTAATAACACTGTGAGACACATTTCAAATTGTGTTCAAAATAAAAGTCAATAAGTTCCTAATAGGTCGCGTTAATTATATTTACCTCCAAAAAAATGGCACTTTTATAAACTAAATGAGTTTTTTTTTATATCAATTACTGTTCTTAAAACAATTTCAATTCCAAAAATACTTTAAATTACCTTCACTAGAAATAAAGGGCCCATTAAAGGGTTAAAACACTTCATATTTATTTTTGGTGTAACTGTATTTTATGTTGAAGGCATGTTTAAATACAATTAAAGTAAAATTAATAAATCAAAATAATCTAAAATATAAACAATAAACGTCGCCCGCGGTAAAATTTATCAATCGTTGACATATCCGCGGTGATAAAAAGGTTGAGGAACACACTTTTAATGTATCATTCTTTATTTTATAAATTTGATTTAAAGTTCTTTTTCACACCGCTACTTGTAAATGATTCGGAAGCGTAATATAAAGAACCCGTTTTTTCAAGGATTCTTCACCCTAAATACGGTTTTTCATGCGTATAGAATAAATGTACTTAGATTTAGTCTGACCACCGCCTCCGCAATTCACCGCCAATATCGACAAACAATGCCATGATTCCGGGTGCCCACGGGCACAGATGAAAGTGAGAAGTGAATTTAGCTCAAGTTCAAGGTTTCATATGAGGTATGTAAGAAGCACGTGTAGTCCGATGAGCACGTGTGGTGAGCAGCGCGCGTGTAGTGATTAAATTTCTTTCACAATATAACATTTCCCTATTGCTTAGGCGAGGTGTCTCCTTATTTTAAATAGGAATTCTGTGAAACCCTAATTTATTTGACTCATTTCAGCTTATTACTAATAATTAAAAAAGACGTGTTTGTGATCTACCTATTTTACTAATCCCATGCTTAATTTGATTTCTTTGTATGTGTTTTTTTTTTAATGTTTTTGTTTGCGTTTCCTTCTCTTTTTCACTTTTCCAATTTTCATTAACATCTTTCCACTAAATTAACTAATCACTTCATTTTAATTTCACCCATTGAGTCAGCAAATATCACTTTTTTTTAAAATTTTATAACCGTGGTTGAACAGCTGACTCAATTTTGGGTTTACGATTACTAATGTTCAACTCCGCTGCCTTGCAATTTTGAACCAATCCAGAAGACGACGAAACTCTTGGATCAGCATCCCCAGAGGTATGATTTGATATGGGAACATGGAGAACTTTGTGATTCGACAGATTTAACGTGCATCAGTCACCATTTACTACACGGGGAGTCTTCGGCCGGTGGGAATCGAACCCGCCCTACCAACCATAAGCCTGGTTGGCCGGGTACTTGTTCGTACACAATCTTAGTTTCTACATTTTCCAACCTTCTCTGCTGGTGTAGCCTGAGAAAAACAGTGATTCCGTTAAGGGTTTTTTTCCTCTGACGGATGACTGTCACTCAGAAAGTGTTTTAACCCCCCAAATTTTGATTTCAATTTCGTCGACAACTGCAAACCAAGCATCGGAAAGGTTCTATGTTCTTTTTCATGCTATCACCTTGTAACTTCACCTCTTCATCATCACCAACTCAACTAATCTCTGAAATCAACTTAAAGAAAAAGAGGATAAAAGCGATTAACACTGATCCTCATCTTCAACTCAACTCAACTCCAAACCACTAGTGGTGAGGCTTTTGAAATGATAGCAAAACTACGAAAAATTCTGTAGGGGTTAGTTTTTAATTTTCTGCACACTTAATAAAATATTGTGCAAAAAGCGTAGTAGTTGTCAGCAGTGCCATACATCACAGACAGGAAATCATAGATACCCACGATACATTAAGTGACAGCTAGAGGATTATCAAGGTTAGGCTTAATATGCTTAAGATTGTTTGCAATTACGAAGTTCATTAGGCGAAAATCATGACTTATACATTTATTTAACCCTTTGCGGAATTGCAAATTTAGTAAGGCAACACATTAGCAGCCGCGACATTTCAGTATTCTTGGAATCGTTGAAAAATGCACGCAAACCTTAATATGCTGCCGCAAAGCAGCCTTTACTGATTCGTCGAAATTCAAAAGTTTTATTTTTGAAAATTGCGGAATTTGAAGTAGTAGAATGCAGTTTATTCTTATATAAGGCATATTTTTATCTCTTTTTTACTCTCTTCTTACATCTCTTTACATCTTTTACTTTATTCTTCTATTATTTACATCGGTAAAAGCTTAGAAGCAAAAAGATGTATATTTTCCGGGATTTAGTATATTTTTAGATAAAGTGTTTCCTGACTGGAAAGGCTCAAACTGTTTATATTAAGTGATGATCAACACTATTGAAAATAAAATTACTGAATGAACAAATAAAGATAAAGCATATCATTTACTACCAATTTAAATTTTTAAGAAAACATTAACGTGTTTATTATTATATAGCTCCTAAAGTGTTAGCAAAATGCATGCTAAAACAAAATGTACTTTATCTCTCAAAATTGAATTCGATATTAATGATCATCACAAAGATTAGGGAAATTATTGAATAAATCGAAGTCTGTAATATGATTTGGGTTCATACCAACGCCTCGTACAACTGAAAGCCTCCACACTGATTTTTATAGGTAGCTCGACCAGACCATCGTGAAGGTAAACCAGTTTACGAAAGAGCCCTTTAATAGAAAATCTAGTAAAAGTAAGACAGTGGTAGCAAATATATGTCTAAAAATTTGTTTAATTTATGAATATGATTGGTTTATCTTATTTACTTGTCTACCACTACAGATTCATTTCTCAAATATGTATGATAAATTTCTCTCAGTTGCATTTAAAATAGAGTATGAGTTCATGCTCACAACTGGTTCACTTTATAAATAGGCTGCGCAGACTACATATAAGAAACCGTGTGGAGGTCTTCTGATGTAAGAAGTAATGTTCATACGCACCTTGAAAGAATTGAAATGTTAGAATAATGTAATATTTTAATATTATTATATCTGTAGCTACCAGAATATTTTATTTTCATTAAGTAAATATACATATATCTGACGGTGGTGAATTTAAAAAATCGATAATGGAAGTTAATATTAAGAACTTATCAGATTTTTTTTCTTCACAAAATTGCATATCTTTTACTCTTTCCGAAAATGGATTTTCCAAGTGGTAGTCAAACAATAATTAAAAAGCAATCTTACTCAATAATATATTTGTGTTTTAAACCAAGTTGAAGTTCATTATCGTAGACTTGCTTTAGACTCCTTCATCTGAGGTTAGTTCTGGGTCAACTAAGACTGATGGCAAACACATACCTGCCAACTTTTACGCATTTGGCTTAAAATTTTATTTCTACATTTAAAGTGGTAGTAAAGTGTATGCTTCCTTGCATTTATAAACTTAATTTATAATCTTTTTGATCCACCACTATTTTTAAAAGTATTAAGCGTATATAATAATGTTTAATTCTGCTGTGACAGTCCGCATAAGCCTGTTAAAAATGCAGCGTATGCCTATTCCAAAAATTGTAATTTAAATTCCATTTTACTACCACTGGTGAAAATCATCCTTGATAGGATAAAAAGTTGGCAGGTATGCATACACAAGTCATAATAAAATTGAATATTATGTTGTTATATATTTGTTGTAATTATTTATGTGTAGTGGTGGTCAAATTCATTTATAATTATTATCATAACTTAATTTAAAAATTTTAATGCAATAACACGAATTTCACTACCACTTTAAATATGAAAATGAAATCTTCCCGGAAAACCGGAAGAGTTTGCAGCTATGAAATTGATATAGTTGATATTAATTTTTCCCAGTATTTTTGCGTATGAACCATGATGCAGGTATGCCAACTGCTTGGAAAATTTTCTTCTAGCAGTAACTAAGTTAATGTTTTAATGTATAATTCCTTGTTTTATAAAGTTATTTTTCACACCACTATATGGAAATGTTTCATAAGTTTGTAAAAAACATTGCTTTCTCATTGTGAAGCTTTTAAATTTTCGGCATAAGTACCGAAAAAAAAAATTGGTGTAAGGAAGACGATTGCTTTTAATTTTATCATAACTTTTAAGAAGGAACTCGTTTCACATTATTCTTTACACGTTGAGTGCCGCGTCAGCCATCGGTGGCTGACATTGGACTTTCCATTTAGACCTCGTCAACCACCAGTGGCTGACACTGAAATTATATTTAGTTCGCGTCAACCACCGGTGGCTGACACTGAAAATACATTTAGTCCGCGTCAACCACCGGTGGCTGACACTGACCTTTCACATAGGCCGCGAAAAACAGCTGGCTGACAGCGTATAACATGATATAGAGCTATAAAATTTACACTCTCTTATGAAATTGCAGAAAATTTATTCAAAATTTACTTAATTATTGTGATTCTTGATTTAATAAATTCAATTTAGTAGATTTTTATACACCACTATTTTTAAACAATTCGTAGGCTTATATAATTCACCACTTTAATCTGATAAGTCATGATAAATATTCTAAAACAAAAGGAATGCGTCTAACATTTGCAAAATTAGTTTGTAGTTATTTACCGTGACCAGATGGGTAAGTCATGTAAAATTAGCGTGACGCTCAACGTGTTAAAGAAATTTTACTCATCGTAAGCATAACACATACTTAAATTATCATTAAATTTTCACAGCTGGTCTTGCAAAACTGACAGTGAAATTTCCCACAACTGTCAAGAAGTCTTATGGATCGATGATCTTGACATTCGTTGGGAAGAATGGAGAAAAAGAAAACGTGACGCTAACAGAGTAAGTTAAAACCCTCATAGTTTTCAAAACTAAGAAAGAGGAAGAACAGGGGTTGATCAAAAGAACCTTTCAGCAACAAGTGTTTTGGATGATTTTATACGGCAAAACTGTTGGTACAATCAAAAAGATCACGCTTGAAGCTGTAATATATGATGCCATTTTTATCCATGCAAAGTTCGTATGAACCAAAAGGTGCGTTGCAAGTTAATAACATTTATTTAGCTATAATACTTGAAATTTTGAAATCATTCCACAGGGTTTTAATATTTATATAAGAATGCTTTTTTAATTGTAATAGTACAGAAAAACAAAATCGGCTTTTTAGTTCCTAAATTTATTTTGGTCGATGTAAATTTAGCCTGGCTCCAAAGGCCATCATTCCTAAAACGCTTCAAGCATGATCTTTCAAATTGTGCTGACAGTTTTGGCATGTTAAATCTTCAAAAACATTTGTTGCTGAATAAAAGATTGTTTGCATACAGTTACTGCAGAAATTTTTCCATAATTTTTAAAAACCCGCAATATTTTCGAATAATTTTTTTTTTAAAAACGCGAATAACTATGAGATTGTTTTAACCTAGATTGTTTTTTTTGTTGTTGTTGTTTCTTCTAAAAAATAAAGATTAGTGTTAGTAGATGTATTTTACTGTTAGCATTTATTATGAAGAAAAAAAAGAAAATTTCAATCAAACATAATGCATTATGTTATAAAAAAGAGCATAGGCTCCAGGTGACAACGCCCCTGATTTTTATTTACAAATCGTAACAAATCACACCTAATTGATGAGGAAAAAAACATGTTGGCGTTCGGCCTATGGAGCGTTTTCGCATGTGATTCGCGTGTCAATGCGATTCGTGCATCCGTAAGCCGTTAGTCTTAAAAGTAGTTTCAAAACATCAGCATGTGCATCCAGGACAAAATGTAGGGAGAATGGTTCAGACAAATCTGCTTGCTGCCAAATACTCTGCTACCATGTTCTGCAGATTGAACATAGCGCAAGCCTTCTTTACTTTCTGACAATTTTCTAAATTTTTTTTATTATCCTTTAGGAAAGATGAGAAGCTTTCCCCTGGCGGTGGAAAATTTCAAGCA